TTTTCAAGGCCAGGTTGAACACAGTGGCTTGGAGCAACCTGCTCTAGTGGAAGGTGTCCCTGCCCGGGGCAGGGGTTGGAACCGGATGAGCTTTGATGTCCCTTTCCAAACCATTCTGTGATTCCATGATTTCCATTTGTGCTGTGGGAGATGAAAAGCAGTTGGGTTGTGTGAAGGCAGAGGAATATTTAAGGAGGATGTAGGGTTTGGTTTTGGTCTGGTTTCATTCTGGGAAGCTGCTTGGCTGTGTGAGGGGTTATCTCCAGGTTACCTGTAGGCTCTTGGGCCTGGAGGAGTGACTCTGGTGTGTGTTGTCTCTGCAGCCAACCCCAGTTATCCTGCTGCAGGAGGGCACGGACACCTCGCAGGGCATCCCGCAGCTCGTCAGTAACATCAATGCCTGCCAGGTTATCGCCGAGGCCGTGCGCACCACGCTGGGACCTCGCGGCATGGACAAACTCATCGTGGATGACCGGGGTAAGCACTGGGCCTTCCACAGCCACGTGGACGTTACTCAGGGATCATCTCCATGTTCACTCGTATCTTCATACCAGTTAAAACCAGCATTTGCTGGTTTCAGACTTCCTCACTCTGCTTAAATCTCGTGCTAGAGGTTCAGTTTCTGTCTCAGTGCTCAGTTTAACACCTTGACTCTGGCTTCTGCTGTTGAAAAGGAAGAGAATAATTGTCAGACCTACCCGAGGGAACTGTTTGCTCCTTAGTAGCCGGAGTTAAGGCACCTGTGGGCTGGACCTGCTCCCAAAGGGTGAGGTGGTGAGGCCCAGTGAGACTGGCTGGTCTGGAATTAGTGTTGTATCAACGTCTCTCTGAGGTCTGAAAAGCTCCCTCATGCTCTGGGCGCCCTTGCAAGGTGACAGGGGCTTTAATCACAGCACTCAAGCTTGATACCCTTTCCCATCAACCCTAGGCAAAGCCACCATCTCAAACGATGGGGCCACCATCCTGAAGCTCCTTGATGTTGTCCATCCGGCTGCGAAGACGTTGGTGGACATCGCTAAATCTCAGGATGCTGAGGTAGGAGGAGAACCTGCCCGGGTTTAGTAGCATGACCTGCAGCAGCAGGCTCTTGTCTGGCAGAGGTTCTGTGGGCTTTTACCTGCTGGGAATTGCACATGGAATGCTGTTGTTTCTTCTGGTTTCTTTCTTGATGCTTTCTCTTTTGTGATAACTTAAATCTTAGTGTCCCTGCCTGTGGCAGGGAGGTGGAACTGGCTGAGCTTTAAGATCCCTTCCAACCCAAACCACTCTGATTCGATGAAATCTCATTTCCCCTTGAACTCCTGTGCTGATGTGGATGACACAGTGTCTCCTCTCCATGCAGGTGGGTGATGGGACCACGTCTGTGACTCTTCTCGCGGCTGAGTTCCTGAAGCAAGTGAAGCCCTACGCAGAGGAAGGTCTCCATCCTCAGATCATCATCCGTGCCTTCCGCACAGCCACGCAGCTGGTGAGGCAGAGCTGCTCCTGCTCAGGGCTCTCATGGGCTCCTGCAGACGGGAATTCTGGGCCAAAGAGCAAACCCAACACACTCTGGGGCAAAAGTCAGTGCTGAATGGGAGTGGGGAGGCACAGTAGTGATCTTGTAATGTCTTACTGCAAACATCAGCTGCCTTTTGTGAGCTGTTACTCAGTTAGTACCTCTGGAGCACTGTTGCTTCCTTTCTGTTTACTTTTTTCCCCAAGGAAGAATGAATACATGGGAAAATCTGTTTCCCATTCTCCCGATCTCTGCTACTCCTTAGTAAAACTTCTGCCTCATGAAGCCCACCAGCCCCACTAAGCTGAGTCTTCTGTGGAGGTGAACTCCCTCAGTAGCCCTTTGGTTCCCCAGCTCTCTGCTGAAGACAGTGGAGCAGCTCTGAGCCTCTTCCCAGTCCTCTTAAACTGCCTTTGGTGTGTTTCTTACTATGCTGGAATAGCCTAAATGCTTGAAACTTGAGTGATGTTGAAGTAGGGAATAAAAGACACCATAAAACACAAAGAGAAGAGTTGGAGATGGGATCCGCTGTGAGCATGAATCATTAATCCAGCTCTTGCCTTGTGTTTTGACAGGCTGTAAACAAGATCAAAGACATTGCAGTTTCAGTGAAGAAGGAAGATAAAGAGTAAGTTTCCCTTGGAGATGACCTGGTTGTGGAGCTGAGCCTCAGTCAGATGGTGTGAGGGTGTTTGAGTTCTGCTGTGGCTCTGGCTGAGGTCTCGAGGTCGGGATAAACAGCCCCACACAAGGGTTATTCCAGAGCGTCTGGGAATTCCCTTCTCCTTTCAGGGAGATGTCCTGCTCTCACTTGGGCTGCAGTGGTGTATGTAGGCCAGTGTCTTCCGGTGCACATGGAGGAAGCTGGGACCAAAATAAGTGGCCTCATTTCTTTGTTGCAGCAGTGGTGGTGACTTGCAGCTCTTGCTGCAGTCTGGGACAGTGTTAATGCTCATTTACTGAGAATCAGATCACTTTTAGCTGTTGGATCCGTATTTCCTTGGTGTCCTTTGTATCATCCTCTCTGTTATGGCACACATTACCTGAGTTCATGGAATCCCAGGTTGGAAGAGACCTCCAGGATCATCTGTTCCAACCTTTCCAGGCACAGCATGACGTAGACCAGATGCCCAGCACCGTGTCCAGCCCAATCTTAACAGTGTCCAATGTTGGGGAGTCACCACTTCCCTTGGGTGATTATTTCAGTGATTGTTCTCATTGGGAAACATTTTTCTCGTGTCCAGTGGGAATCTCCCCAGGAGCAACTTGTTCCCATCACCCCTCGTCTTTCCCTTGGGACTCCTTGTCAAAAGGGAGTCTCCATCTTCCCTGTAGCCACCCTCCAAACACTGGCACATGGTGACAAGGTCTCCCCTGAGCCTTCTCTTCTCCAGGCTGGACAGTCCCAGCTCTCTCAGCCTTTCCTCACACACTTCCCAGCCCTTGGATCATCTTTGTGACCCTTCTCTGGATTCTCTTCAACCCATCTCTTCAGCCAGCTTTTGTGTACAGCTGGGACCAAACCTGAACACAACACTTCAGAGAATATGCTACGTTTAGAGAGTTTCATACACTTCTCACTGCCTTTGGATGAGGGAGGGGATGATGCTGAGCCCTGTTTAGCTCAGGCCTGTGGTGTCTAAAAGCCAATTGATCTGGTCAGTGCTGGTCCAATGCTTTGTTCTACAAGGGAGGATTGCACTTTGACAGTGTGCCTTGATGTGTGTGCCTTGTTTTCCCTCTCCATGGAAGAGGAGCTGATCTTTACCTCTGTCAGAGTGGATTTAAGCCATAACTGGTGGTTTCTGAGCCTGCAGAAAGAACCAGCAAGTGACCAAGACCTTTCTCCTTCCTTTCTTGCAGAGAGCAGAGAAGCCTCCTGGAGAAGTGTGCAGCCACAGCCCTGAGCTCTAAGCTCATCTCCCAGAGCAAGGAGGTTTTCTCCAAGATGGTTGTAGATGCTGTCATGATGTTGGATGACTTGTTACAACTCAAAATGATTGGAATAAAGAAGGTGCAAGGAGGTGCTTTGGAAGTAAGTGCTGTTAGATCTGGTCCTGGCTTGGGAAACATGGGAAGGAAACCTGGTGAAGGAGCTGATCCAGTGGTGGCAGGAGGGCTCTGAGGTTCATACCACACTGTTGTGTATGGGGCTGCTTGTGGGTACATGACAGGGGGTTGTTCCTGGGCTGTGGACAGTTGGTGTGTCCCTGCCTGTGTCCTCTAGGTTGGGGCACGTGGCACCCGTCTGGAGAAATAAAGCCCTCCACATTCTCCCAAGTTATTACCCTGTTACCATCTGTAAATGCTCTGCAGGAGCATTTTCATTGAGAACAGACATTATAATCACCCCAGGCAACTGATTTAGTGAATTAGGAACATCTCAGCATCTGTTTGTGTGGTGTCTGGGCCTCTGGTGTTTGAGACTTTCAGAACTTGCTCCCCTGGGGAGGGTGGTGTCTCCTGTTTGGATTAAAGCAGCTCTCCTTACTCCAGATTGTTTGGCCTTTGTATTCTGCTCTCACACTCTGAGAGCTGCATGAGGATGGGGCAGGTAATTTAGCATGTTACTTCTCAGGGTTGGTTTGTGAGAGATCCTGGAGCATCTCACCCTGTCAGAAGAGAGGGGCTGTGCTTGTCCTGGCTTAGGAGGGACAGGGATCCTCTGGGCTTCAGTGTCTGGGTAGAGCCACCTCTGCAGCCTGTAGTTGGATGCTTCTGGAGTAAACATTCAGATGGTGGTTTCTCTCCCAGCCGTGAAGTGAACAGTTCACGTCAGGGGGCAGTGTTGGGCAGGGCAAATCCTACTGCAGAACAATTCTGGAAGTGGTGATGGAACATGGGAAAACAAACCAGAGGGAAAGAAACCCTCGAGTGTGTGGCTATGGATGGGAAGTACCCGTCTTCAAAGGGAAGAAATGGGAAGGACATCAGAGAGAGAACAGATGCTTCATCCCTTGATCTTCAGCTTGTGTGTAGCATCTTTTACTGTGGTGTCTTGAGGGTAGAAAAAGAGTGATAGAAGCTGCTTTGTGAACACATAGAGGAAAATACTGCTTGTTTTCCCTAAAAATGGGTTACTCAAAGGAGTCAGCAGTTGGTGAGTGCTTTGGAAATGAGGACTCAAAGCAGGGAGTCTCCTGTGGGAGACAGGAACCCTGTGGAGACAACCTTGGGGGGCTGAGCCTAACACAGATCCCTGTCTTGAAGGACTCTCAGCTAGTGGCTGGAGTGGCCTTTAAGAAGACATTCTGCTACGCTGGCTTTGAAATGCAGCCCAAGAAGTACCAGTGTCCCAAAATTGCCTTGTTGAACGTGGAGCTGGAGCTCAAAGCTGAGAAGGACAATGCTGAAATCAGAGTGAACACTGTGGAGGTAAGAGCTGAACCTCTCCTGCTTCCTCATGCCTACTGCCTGCTTGGGAGCCACTGGGAGAAGTGATCATTCCCTTCTGCACATCCTTTTCCTCCCTGAAAATAGATGGGGGTTATAGAATGCTTTGGGTTGGAACGACCTTAAAGCTCATCTAGTTCCAGATGCCTCATGTGGGAGAAGGGAATTATAGACTCTGAATGACAGGTTTAAGGGCATGTTCCTGCTCACTCACGGTGCCTCAGCTATCCCATGATGTGCCATCAGCTTTGGGGTGACTTCTTCATGCCTAACAGTGCCCTTCCAGTGCTGTGAATCCCAAAAGAGCCTCTCCATATTTAAGCAAACAATTGGACAATAGTTGTTTATCCATCTTAAAATCCTTTTATGATCCATGGTCATTCTCTGACACCTTCTTGGGAAGCTGCATGTGTTTGTTTCCTGTGTATCTGTGGTATCTAAAGACCTCTATGTGCTTTGTTCTGGGGTTTGGCCCCACCATGATCTTAAAGCCCTCCCTCTGCTGGGGTGGACACAATGGTGTTTCCTGTAGTTGGCTGTTGTGGTGCTGCTGTGTCCTTGGGTGAGATTCCCAGCTTCACTTACAGCCAGAGCACAACGGCCTGGTGAATCCCAAGCGCCCTGGTAAAGCAGGTTCCTTGGGATCAGCGTTTTCCCCCTGTGATACTGCAAGTCTTTGCACCCCAACATCCCTTCACAGTTCTGTGAGCACCTCTCACACATCACTGTCACCCCTTCCTGCTCCTTGTGCTCTCTCTTGAGCTGTCACTGCCTTTGTACCAGTTCTTCCAGTCTCTTTATCAACTCCATTCTGCTGCTGGAAGTGGTGTAACAGTTGTGGCTCTTTGGCATAAATGAAGTGACTAAAATCATCTCCAGGTCTCAGGAGGCAGCTGTCTGGGGCTGCCGGGAGCAGCACCACTGCTGCCTGCCTCTTAAAGAGCTCTCTCTTTGCAGCCCTCTGTAACATGAACACCTCTCCCATTCTCTTCCCTCCTCCCAGGACTACCAGGCCATCGTGGATGCTGAGTGGAACATCTTGTATGACAAACTAGACAAAATCCACAAGTCGGGAGCCAAAGTTGTCCTGTCCAAGCTTCCCATCGGAGATGTGGCCACTCAGTACTTTGCAGACAGGGACATGTTCTGTGCTGGCCGTGTCCCAGAAGAAGACCTCAAGCGAACAATGATGGTGAGTTCCTTGGGTCACAATAAAGACTTGATTTAGTTTCAACAGTGCCAGGCTGGTCAGTCCCCAACAGGGCAGCAGTTGGAGCCTGAGCACAGAAAGATTTAAAGTGAAAATCACATCATTTTTGCCCCTGTAGTTATAGAATCATAGAATTAGAAGAATCACTTAGGTTGGAAAAGACCTTTAAGATTGTCAAGTCCAACCTTTGCCCCAGCACTGCCAAGGCCACCACTAACCCATGGCACTGAGGGCCTCATCTACAGGCTTTATGGACACTTCCAGGGACAATGTAATGTTGTGATGTGAAGTTCCATATACTGACAAAGCTGTTCCTTGCTGGAATGAACAATCCCACCCTCATTGCATCTGTACTGCTCTTTAGTTTCTCTGCTCTTGTTCTCTGTTAGGGTCTGTACATTGCATCAGCAGAGGTGTATTTTCCCATGTCCTTCTCTGTTCCATCATGAGTGGGTTTTAGCTTTCTTGTAGCTGCTGGACTCCAGAACCTGTGAGTCAGCACTGGGAAGCAGCACAGTCTTACTTTGCTGTCAAGGATTGTTGCTGCTGTTGGTGCCTGCAGGGATGCGTGAGATGGGAGGGGAAGTAGAAGGGTTTTTCCCTGAATCTGGCCTGTGGAGTGGTTGTTAGATCAGAGCTGTCTCTGAAAAGTGGAGCCTGCTGGGCACATGTGTCTCGTTTGTCAGTGTTGGTAATGTTGGGCTGCTTTCCCCTCGGTGCAGGCCTGTGGTGGTTCCATTCAGACAAGTGTCAATGCGCTGTCAGATGATGTCCTGGGTCGATGTGATCTCTTTGAGGAGACTCAGATTGGAGGAGAGAGGTAAATACACCAGTTGTGAGGATGTGGTCCTGTGCAAGCACAGAATCCCAGCCTGGTTTGGCTTGGGAAGGGACCTTAAAGCTCCTCCAGCTCCAACCCCTGCCCCGGGCAGGGACACCTTCCACTAGAGCAGGTTGCTCCAAGCCCCTGTGTCCAACCTGCCCTTGAACACTGCCAGGGATGGGGCAGCCACAGCTTCTCTGGGCACCCTGTGCCAGCGCCTCAGCACCCTCCCAGGGAAGAGCTTCTGCCCCAAAGCTCATCTCAGTCTCCCCTGTGGCAGGTTCAAGCCATTCCCCTTGTCCTGTCCCTCCATCCCTTGTCCAAAGCCCCTCTCCAGGTTTCCTGGAGCCCCTTTAGGCCCTGGAGCTGCTCTAAGGTGTCCCCTTGAGGAGCCTTCTCTTCTCCAGCTGCCCCAGCCCAGCTCTCTCAGCCTGGCTCCAGAGCAGAGCTGCTCCAGCCCTCGCAGCAGCTCCGGGGCCTCCTCTGGCCTCGCTCCAGCAGCTCCACGTCCCTCCTGATGACCCTCCTTGCACTGTTTTCTTGCAGATACAACATCTTCACAGGCTGCCCCAAGGCAAAGACCTGCACAATAATCCTGCGGGGGGGAGCGGAGCAGTTCATGGAGGAGACAGAACGATCCCTGCACGATGCCATCATGATAGTCAGGAGAGCCATCAAGGTAAGGACCAGAGGAGATACCTCCCTGCTGGTGTGACACTGGGGTTGTTGAGGTGTCCTGGCACAGCTCTAACTCATCCTAGAAACCTTCTCACACAGCTGCATTTGGGTGAGGGCTCTGTGGGGAGTTCAGGAGCTCTCAGCTGATGGAGGTCACAGACGGGCAGCATCTGATTGAGGAACTCAAGTGCTGTTCCTTGGCCAAAGCAGTGTTGTCTCCGCATCTTCCCAGCTGCTTTTCAGGCACTCCTGATCATCAGGACAGCTGTAGCTTGTGCCTGCTGTGTCCTGGGGGCACCTCCATCCTGAAGGGAACATGACCTTCTGGCTGTGTCAGGTAGATCTGCAGGAGGTTTGAGTAGCAGGATTGATGTTGAGTGCATGTCAGAGCCTGTTAAAGCCACTTGTTCCCTCTCTGAGTGACCAGTCTGAATGATCATTGTCCCCTAGCTGTGAAGGTGGGCTGGGAGCACCATGAGAGGAGTCTGAAGTGTGTGATGGATGTGTGCTCTGCTTGTGGAGCTGCTGGTCCTGTGTGCCAGATGCTGCCCAGCTGTGGGTGGTTTGGGTTATGCAGAAGCACAGACTGGTTTGTGGTCACAGCCTCCTTCAAGTATCCCCCTGCTCCAGCGTGGGGCCCTCCATGGGCTGCAGGTGGAGATCTGCTCCCCCATGGACCTCCATGGGCTGTGGGGGCACATCCTGCCTCAGCACAGGTTGCAGGGGAACCTCTGCTCTGGTGCCTGGAGCACCTCCTGCCTCCTCCTGCACTCACCTTGGGGTCTGCAGGGCTCTTCTCTCACATGTTCTCCCTCCTCTCTTGTTTCTCTTGTTTATTAAATCTGCTACCCCAGAGGTGCTGCCACCATCCCTGATGGGCTCAGCCTTGCCCAGTGGTGGGTCCACCTTGGAAGCAGCTGGCTTTGGCTCCTTCAGACATGGAGGAAGCTTCTAGCACCTTCTCACAGCAGCCACCCCTGGAGCCCCTGTACCAACCCCTTCCACCCCAACCCAGCACACAGTAACGAGAGTTTCCCTTGTCCTTCCAGAACGACTCGGTTGTTGCTGGTGGTGGTGCCATAGAGATGGAGCTTTCCAAATACCTCCGGGACTATTCCAGGACCATTCCAGGCAAGCAGCAGCTGCTCATAGGTGCTTATGCTAAAGCCCTGGAGATCATTCCTCGCCAGCTCTGTGACAATGCTGGCTTTGATGCCACCAACATCCTCAACAAGCTCCGAGCCAAACATGCACAGGTAGGTGCCCACCTCTGAACCTCCGGCTGCGGGGAGAACCAGTGAGTTGTATGTGGCTTCCTTCCTTCTTTTCTTCTTTCTCCTGGTGGATCTGGTGGAATTCAGCCCATGTGAGGTTTGTGTCCTCTTTCACATCACTTGGTGCAGGTTCCTATAGAAGGAACCAATGTGTTTTCCCTTTGATCACAGCTGGTGGAGGTTTTAGTTGCTTCTTAAAGATGCATCATTTGTCAGGAGGGAGCTTCTGGTTTCAACATGGAAGTCAGTCATAGAACCCATGGGTTAGAAAGGACCTTAAGCTCATCCAGTCCCAGCCCCCTGCCATGGAGAATAGGAGTTGGCCATATGTTCTCCAGAGTTGCTGCAGATGGAAGGTCCTGGTTGTCTCCCATCATTTTGGACCTTGTGGAGTGCAAACCTTCCTGGTTCAGGCTGCAGTTTGCTCCTTGGCTTCTCTCAGTAGTAGCTGCTGCTTTGAGGGGTTGTTCCCACCATGTTCCACCCCACTGATGATTGTGGGGATAGAGGGATGCCCTGGGAGGAGCAGCTCCATCTTGGGCTGCAAATGCTGGGGCTGTTAAGCAGTGAAGTGGGACAGCAGCGGTGTGGAAGCTGGTCCTGAAGACTTCTACAGCTTCTCTCTGAGGTGGAACACACCTTTTTTATGAAGCTTTGCTGACAACAAAGGCTTTTTGGGTGTTTCCCCTCAAATATTCTTGGAACAGGCTGCCCAGGGCAGGGCTGGAGTCACCGTCCCTGCAAGTGTTCACAGCCCGGGTAGCCGAGGCCTCAGTGCCAGGGGTTAGTGGTGGCCTTGGCACTGCTGGGGTAAAGGTTGGACTCTATGATCTTAAAGGTCTTTTCCAGCCTGGTTGATTCTGTGGTTCTTCCTTCACGCAGCAGGGTCCAGTCTCTGCCTCTCCCCTGTGTCTTTGCTTCCCAGTGCATGGCTTGAAATCCCAGCCTGGTTTATATTGGAAGAGCCTTTAAAGCTCCTCCAGTTCCACCCCCTGCCCCGGGCAGAGACACCTTCCACTAGAGCAGGTTGCTCCAAGCCCCGTCCAGCTTTACCAGCCCAGTAACAGGTCCCTGTCCCCTCCTGTGTCCCTGCAGGGGGGCACGTGGTACGGTGTGGACGTGAACAACGAGGACATTGCTGACAACTTCGAGGCGTGCGTATGGGAACCGGCCATCGTGCGCATCAACGCGCTGACGGCCGCCTCCGAGGCCGCCTGTCTCATCATCTCCGTGGATGAAACCATCAAGAACCCCCGTTCCACTGTGGATGCTGCTCCCACTGCCCGGGGCAGGGGTCGAGGCCGAGCCCCCAACCACTGAGATCGGGCTGGAGCTCTCCTCCAGCGTGCAGAGTGAGAAGGAATATGTTTTGAGATGAATTCAGAGGCCCTTCACCACATGGTCACTTTGAGGGCTTCAGGCAACCTCTGGCCTAGTTGAATTAGAGTCAGATCTTGGCCTGGGCACCACAGTCCCCCCAGGAGGTGCTCAGCCCCAACATTTCCTGCACAGCACTGATCTCCTTAGGCTTTGCCTTGCCATTCCACATGGAAACCATGCTGAGTGGAGCCCTTTGGGCCCAGGCAGGTTGTGCAGCCGCTGTGGGGCTGGTTTGTATTTATACTCCTTTTATTTCCTTCCTGTTTTCCTGCTGGAGGGTTGGAATCCAGGCTCAGAATAAAGAGGTGACTTCATTTCAGTGGCACATTTGGGGCTCTCTCTGTTCTGTGCTGCTTGCTCATGGCTAAAGGTGAACCTCAGACTGGGGTTTGCCCTGTTTAAAAGCAGGAGCTGTGCTGGGAAGCAGGATCTGCTTCCCTGTGCTTCCCACACATTGCCTTTGTGCAGGGCTCTCTCACGGAGCTCCCACCTATTGCTCAGTGACATTTCTACTTCCTTTTACTTAACTGTCCATTTAAATCCCATCTTTTCCTTCCTAAAAGGACGTTCTGAGCAGTAGCTGTGTCTGTCTCTGGAGCTGTGTGGGGCTGATGGTACTTGAGAGCTGCATCCTGGCACTGGGACCCTCTCCCACAGGAATATTCCTTTGGGAAATAGGGAGAGATGGGTCTGGTAGGTTGCAAGTGAGGGCTTGTACTGCAGAGCCAGTGCAGACACTGTAAAACCTTCTTGGTTTTACCAGGGGGGGTCTCCCCAGAGCACAGCAGAGGGGCAGGATCCCCTCCCTGAGCTGCTGCTCACGCTCTGGGGGTGCACCCAGCACACGGGGGGGTTCTGGGTTCAAGCACACACTGAAGCCAGGTCATGGGGAGCTTCTCCTCAGCCAACACCCTCAAGTCCTCACCTAACCCCCCCCAAGTCCTTCTCCTCAGGCGGCTCCATCCTGTCTCCCCCAGCCTGTGTCTGTGCTGGGGTTGCTCCCACGCTTGCACTTGGCCTTGTTGAACTCCATGAGGTTTGCACGGTCCCACTTCTCCAGCCTGTCCCGATCCCTCTGGATAATGAATAACCTGGGAACCACGAATCCTTCAGCCATCATGCACCAAGCCTCAATCTTCTCTTCTTTGTTTCTCATTTAGGAATGTTCAGAAATCCATGGTTGGGGGGGGGTGTTAGCAGAGAACTGGCACTAAAGTGTTCAAACTCAGCTCTTCCCTCCACAGTGGTCCAAGATCAGCCCTTTCCCTTAATGAAGGCCACGGGGATGGGAGTTGGATCCCTCTCCTTCCCTTCTGGGCTGTGAGCCCTCCCTTTGCCCACTGCTGCTTCCAGGCCCTCTGGCAGCATCTTCCACTGCCAGTTGCTTCCAGGGCCCCGCACTGCCCAGTAAAGCCCCACACACCAAACTGGTCCCACTGGTTTGGTGCTGGAGCAGAGTGAAACCTCCACCTCAATCTCCAGAGTCTTTATTCAACACCAAGTCATAAAATAGCTCTTTACACACCTTGGGAAGAGGGTTAATTCTTGGGTTTTCCTGGAATTCTTTAAATACACATGGTTTACACTCGGCAAATGTCAAAGCAACAACATCAAAGTGCATCTACAGGTGATAGTACCAACCAAAGTGCTAAAGACATGGTCTCCTGCCACCTCCACCACCTTGTCAAAAGCCGCGGTCCCCGCCCCCCTCCCCCCCCTTGCCCCCACACCCCCTGTCCCCACTGCTCTTCCCAGTGGATTCAGCAGCCAGGACCAGGGGATGGGGAAAAGGGACGTTTGGTTCTCCAGACACTGGCACATGGCTGCAAAAAAGACTTAAAATAGACCTCAATTTGGATAGAGTTAAAAAAATACCAACTCAGGAGGCAACTGCTGCCTTTGGGA